TCCATCCGTCCATCCATCCATCCATCCATCTGTCCATCCATCTGTCCATCCATCCATCCGTCCATCCATCCAAGTCCCTTCCTGTCAGTGTGTTACTGTGTCTTCCATCACTGTCTTCCACTTGTCTGGAGGACAGAGTTCTAGAACAGTCCGTCTCTTTGCGGACGTGTTTTCACAGTAATAATAATCAGTGTGATGCTAGCGTTCAGTGCTAACGTCGTCACCAGTTTGCCTTCGTTTGTTTGTGATCATTCAATTTTCTGCCCATCTTTAATATTAGCCTTTTAATCTGCTCTACTTATTAAATGTCTTACATTTTTGGATGAGTGTGAACGATTTCCCCTCCGTAGCTTCGTCGTCCGTCCTCGCCACCAAACTCACTCTGTTGATCAACCACCATTTCATTAACTTCATCCATTGAGTTCAAAATTGAAAATCTAATTGGGAAATGGCTGCAGTGTGTGTGTGTGTGTGTGTGTGTGTGTGTGTGTCCAGTGAATTAAATAAATCTTTTAATGACATTGTTCTCTTATCAGTTCATGTTCATCACTGGCTCAGACTCACATTAACCTTTCCATCGGCCCTGACATTTCCGCTCGTCCTAAATGGAGAATTAAAGACCATTGAAAAGTCATTAGTGGAATTTACTGCTTCTGTTGACTGGTCAGACATGAGAGCGGCTGCTGGACCACCAGTCTCCTCACAACTCTGTTTATTATTGTTTAAAGGAGAAGTACGCAAACTGTTTCACGTCCAATAATCACATTAGTCCCTAAACACGACGTGGCGTCACCTGTCAATCAATCATACAGTTTGATGTCACGACTGTCAGAGGAACACGTTCAAACCTCCTGACTGTGACACGACTCTCTCCACTAATGACTATTAAACCTAGATGAAATGGCCAAAGTTAATTAGCTTGAATGCTAACACTTAGCTCCAGGCACATACAGTAATCTCATCAGATTTTCATTTATGTACTCGCTGACACAGAGTTCCATCAGGACACTTTGTTGGCAATATGAAAAATACTCAATATAGTTTTATATATATTCATGGTCATTTATGTCACAAACATAAAAACAAGATAAACGTTTGTTTGTTTGTTTGTTTTAAAGGACATGTCCAGTCATGTGAGGAAAGGTTCAAAAGGCTGAAAAGAAAAGAAAAGATTTTTCTTTGATATGTCACAGTCACAAAGAGTCAAAGCTGAAGTGTGTCGTGGTTTTCTGTCCCCCGTCTTCAAGGATCTCTACCGCCGTTGTGTGGCCATTTGGGTGAATTGAGGAACAAGGTTAATGTTTACAGTTCATCGGCTGAACTGTAACTGTTAAACTGTTAAATATTTGTTCACCTGGAAAGTTGGAAAAGTCATCGCAAAAGAAAAGATGAAAATTGAACAAAATATTTGTTAGTAAATAGAAATAAGAAGAGACTAAACTTTAAGCATTAAACTTTTTAAGTGCGATAATAGGGTTTAGCCTGAAGAGGTCTCTGTAGAGACACATAATGATCCACACAGGAGGGAAGACGTTCTGGGGCTCAAAGTGTGGACAAACATTTTTATTTATAGACACGTGATCATTCCAACAGTCGGTTGTTCATCACACACTCCGTCAGTCTCTGCGTCTGTGGCTCTGACAGTTCTGTCAGTTTTAGATGCTCAACTGTTTTCCTTTCAGCCAGAAACATTTAGAAACCGCCAACGTTCATCTGAAGACTCGAGTTTAAGGCCTATGTTACACTGCCATCTGGTGGACACAAACGTTCAAACGTATTTAACTATCTGATGTGGAACAAAAGGTTGAAAAAACATCCACTTGATTTCTTTCTAATGCTCAACATATAAAGACTATATATACACATATATGTCCATATATATGTGTATATATATATATGTGTATATACATTATATATATACAGTAAATATATATATACAGTATATATATATAAATGTACAGGCGTCGTCCACAGGTCAGCAGCTTGTATGTAAACTGTCTTTGTTCTCAGCATCACGAGGGTCCACGCTCATCGAAGCCTGTAAACCACTTTTGTTTTACATAATCACATGTTTTCACTTGTCGTTTTCTCTGACTGTATCATTAGTAACACAACACGCAGCACAGCAGCACACACAGCCTGGTACTTCATTTGTGTACGTCCTGAACAATCACAGGAAACGACTGTGAATTTGAACGTTCTTTTTCACCATCAGCAGTGTGAAGGACTGCCTCGGACACGTCCTCGCAGCTCGTCCTCAAAGTCTCTAACATAGAGTCACATGAAGCATGTGACAGCGTCAGCGCCGACTCTCGGCTCAATCCTTTTTCTCAGGTCGTTCGTGACGCGTCTTCGAAAATTACTACGACATGGAAGATTACGGATTACTGCTGTGCTCAGCAGTATCGTGGAATCAGTGGGCGGGACGTAGCGTTGGCATTTGTTTCATATCAGAATTGTCTGAAATTCTTGTTTCTTGGTTTAAGTATCAATCAATACGTTTATTGATAAATGACTGGTGGAAATGTAAATGTTGACCTCCTGTGACACGTGTCC